CCAACGGAGGGACGGATACACACTGGGGGTGCGGGAATAAATTGCCAGAGGAACATTTCGGGTCTGGCTTCCTTCGGGTTCAGTCCAAGCAATTCACAGTCGGTATCGGAAATCTTCTTGAACAGATTGAGAACACGGAGGGCATTCATATCATCCTGAGCCTTCTTGTAGTGCTTCTCTACCTCCGCGTTCGAACTCCTAGCTTCATCGAATGAACGATCGAAGACGATCTTGCTGGGCGGTGGAACCTTTTTCACCGATGTCGACGCATTGAACGCACGGAATTTGTCGTGTGTGATCTTGAGCGCACTGTTGCCGGCCTTTTTAACCACACCATTGACAGCACCACATGCCTCACAGGTCCGCGTCTTCCGGCAACGTTCATTGATGCGTTTCGCGATCTGTAACCGTCGAAGGTTGTCCAAGCCCGGCCGACGCATCTCGCGGAGAAAAGCACGTCGCTCTGCCTCGGGCAGCAGAATGTGCGAACACTCCTTGCAAATCTCCTGCAGAATGCTGATAACACGTTTAAAGTAACCGACATGGAAGGAAGGCAGGACGAGCCTCACATGACCGAAATGACCGTTGCAGACCTGAAGGCTGCCACCGCATGTTTGGCAAGTCGCGGTCTTGCTCGAGATACCCATGCGCCCGTCGAGAGGACCGTGCGGGACCACCGCTCTGTCATGTTCGAGGTTGAAGAATTTCCGATCGGATACCTCAACTACAGCTTGACTGACTATGTCGTCGTTGGACCTGTCATGCCGAATCCAGAATTAGTCACAATCATCCAGCACTATGACAGCAAGTCTCTTGAAGGCGGAAGAAGAGCATTCATACAGTACACCGAATTTTAATTCTTTTATAACTTTGGGGACGCGGTCTATGACCTGGGCCTTGCCCAGGTCGACCTGCACACCTTCTGGAGGCTGCATTGCCGTTGTCAAGAGCTGATCATGGCAATGAGCCAGAGGTGATTAAACCGAGTTGCAGACGGCAACGATGTGTAGATTCGGCGGTTATATTATGCTCTAAATCAATAAGAGCGCTGTGATAGAGACAAGCGAGCCCGCTGCGATGGTCTGGTGAACCTTGACCTGAAAGAAGCTGAAGGGAAAAGGCGACCGTTGAAGGAGGAGAAATTGTTAAGATCATTGCGGCGGCGGGGTCGGCGACGAACTTTTTTGCGGCCAAAAGCTCCAGCTCCGGCCCCTCAAGGTTCCAACCAATCAACATCCAGAATTTCATCCAACATCGAGATATTGATAGTTTAGTGTTACTGTTGAATGCGATGTGGATATAGACACGGGTATATTTTTGAACGATAAATCTGGATAGATATACAACGTAAACAGGATGATACTATTATACAGATGCGGAAGCATTTCAAGTCATTTATTTGGCGAGGAAAGCCTGGAACGCCTGGTGTTCAATCACCACATTTCCAACAGCCCTGAGTCTCTTTCGTCCTTCTTTCTGCTTCTCGAGCAGTTTTCGGCGCCGACTGACATCACTAGCATGGAGCTTGGCCAAGACGTCTTTTCGGTAGGGTTTGACCGTTTCTCGGGCTATGACCTTTTTACCGACAGCAGCCTGGATCACAACCTCGAACAGTTGTCGATCAACATGCGACTTGAATTTTGTCACCCATTGTCGTCCAAGCCTTTCCACTTGACTCAAGTGGACGATGCGAGCAACGGCATCGACAGGCGCCTTATTAACCAAGAGTTGCAGCTTGACGATGTTCCCCGTTTGCCAAGCGGATTCCTCATAGTCCAGGCTTGCGTAGCCTTTGGTGGACCCCTTGAGCTTGCCGAAAAAGTCATCGACCAGTTGAGCAAGAGGCAGCTCATACTTGAGAATAACCTGTGTCGCTGTGAAATACTCCAAACTCTTCTGCTCACCTCGGTTTGCCTCACAAAGTTCAATGACCTTGCCAAGATACTCCTCGGGGAAGGTCAGTGTAGCCAGGACGTAGGGCTCTTGAATCTCAGCCACCTTAGAGCGCAGTTCTTCGTCTTCTGGGAATCTGGCAGGGCTGGTAACGATCTCTTCTTTCCCGTCCTTCCAAATGACCTTGACAGGTACTGATGGAGGTGTGATGATGATGCTTGCACCGTGCTCCTGGCGTAAGCGATCCTCGAAGACAGAACAGTGAAGGGTGCCCAGAAATCCCAGTCTGAAGCCTGCGCCGAGAGCCTCTGACGATTCCTTCTGCACGGTAATACTCCGGTCGTTGAGCACGAGCTGGTTGATACTGTCTTCCAAGTGCTCAAAGTGGTCTGCATCCACCGGGTAAGCCGCCACAAAAACCATTGACTTGGGCTCCTCGAAGCCCGGAAGTGGCTCAACGGCTTTCTCGAACCCGACCTTCGTGAATGTGTCACCAATCTTCGCTTCTTTGCTTCGTTTCATACCAGGATTGAAATAGATGTACCCGACTTGGCCGGCACGGAGCACGCTCTGTGGTGTTTCGTTTGGATACATGATGCCAACCTCGCCGACGTAGTACTTGAGACCTGTGGCAAACGACACGACCTGCTGGCCCGCTCGAATTTCACCGTCGAAAATACGAACTAGACAGATCACGCCTTTGTAGGAATCGTACCAGGAATCGACGAGTAACATCCGCAATGGCTTCTTGCAATCACCAATGGGTCTGTTAAGAGTCAGTAGCGGAAGCAGCTTATGAAGATAGACAAGGAAATGGTCATACGCTGGAATCTTCTCAATAACTGTTGGAAGTAATTTTTCAACATTGAGTCCCGTCTTGGCTGAAACCATCACTGCGTTCTCGGTGTCGAGCTCGAAGGAACTCTTCATCTGCTCAAGAGCCCGCTCTGGTTCAGCCGACGGCAAATCTACCTTGTTGATGACCGGAATCAATTCCAAGCCCTGTGCAAAAGCTAGGTAGAAGTTCGCAACGGTCTGTGCCTGAATTCCTTGACTGGCATCGACCAGGAGCAATGCACCTCCGCAGCTAGCATAACTGCGCGATACCTCTGCACGGAAGTCCACATGGCCTGGAGTATCAACCAGGTGCAACAAGTAGTCTTCACCATTGTGATTGTATATCATCGAGCACGTTTGCGCCTTCACGGTGATGCCACGTTCCCGCTCCACATCGAGCTTGTCCAACACTTGTTTGTTCGAGCCGGGCTCAATCGTCCCTGTGAGTTCGAGTAGGCGGTCGGACAGTGTGCTTTTGCCATGGTCGACATGGGCGACGATGCAAAAGTTCCGGTATCGCTCGATTGGAATCGCTGCTATTCTGTTCTCGAGGTCGGATACCGGTTTGGTTGCGGTTGATCTTGATCCGGCGCGAGAAGCGGAACTGGTGAAAAATCGGGGAGCGTTAGCAAGGACGAATGGCGCCCTGGTCAGGCTTGCAGCTGTGCCTTTCGGTGCTGCGCTCAGCCATCTGGCTAACTGCAGGCATCCTCGCATCTGGAGTAATGCAATGGCATGGGAATAGGATGCCTTTTGAGATGAGGATTCAAGTTGTCGACTGCCGAATTCCGAAAAAAAAATGCGGCACCGAATCACTTCCTGCGGAGAAAAAGTGCTGGGTCTCGGGCGGTGGACCAACGGATTGCTGCGGCGACTATCAAGGTAAACAAAAGCTGCAATTCTTTTGTGACCAGTCCAGAGACCCACGAATGAGCAAACATCCCATCTACAACCCCGATTTCGATCAAAATTCGCTGAAAATGTCTGCAACGAAAGAAAAATCCAAGGTGCACAAGCTCTCCATCAAAGGTAAGACAAGAATCTGGCATTTGATGATCGATTCGCGAAGCTCATCCATTTACGATAGGATCAGCGAAGCTCGTGGCAGAATTCGTAAGTCCAGTCCATCGATTCATAGGGGCTCTGAATGAAGGACACAAGTTGACGAGACTTAGTTTGAATATTCGATAAACTCCATCCTGTATGTTGATGTGCACTAGAAAATGGGTGCAACACATACTCATCAGCTTTGGCTCCTAGGTTTCAACGAGGTGTATATCCACCAGAAGACTTTACAACGTCAGTTTACGCCAGTACACGATAGCTGTGAATCATTGACTCTAATGCGGAGACAGTGTTAAGAAATATGGTCTCAATATGCTTGGTAGGTCCATTACCTCGCTGCGCGCAACTTACGTTGATCGAGTCTAGTTACCGCCGACGACCAGGTCAAGGCCTACATCAAGAAGATTATGTCGCAGTTAAACAAGTGGATGCTTGGAGGCAAGATTTCAAAACTTGTTGTGGTTATTACAGATAAGGAGACAGGGGAGCACGTCGAAAGATGGCAGTTTGACGTAAGACAGCCTCTTCACTGAATGGATGTGCGCAATGGCTGATTGGAGTTCGATGATTATCAGGTCCAAATATTCGGAAAGCATACCAAGAGCCAAACTTCTCGAAAATCTGCTGACAAGGAGAATGCCACTCCGGGGTATGTCTGTCTCTTCCTCCCATGTCCCCCACCAGCGATACTAACGACGCCTTGTCTTGTACAACAGAGACACGGAGATCCAAGATTCGATTCCGGTTGAGAGGACAGAGAAAGAAATCCAGGAAGAGATACAGGCTATTTTCCGCCAAATTACAGCCTCTGTCACTTTCCTCCCAGTCCTGGACGGAGACTGCACATTCAACGTCCTCGTGTACGCTGACGCAGACTCGGAGGTGCCCGTCGAATGGGGGGACAGCGATGCCAAAGAGATTAAGAATGCCGAGAAAGTGCAGCTGCGAAGCTTCAGTACGAATAACCACCGAGTGGAGACCCTGGTCAGCTATCGCCTAGCTGAATGACCGCTTATTGCCCAAATTTCGGTAAATGATTCTTGCAGGATGGCGTTCAGGAAAGGGAGTTACACAGCTGGATTACCTACACTTTGTGATGGCTTTCAATATAATCTTTCTCTAATGGCAAAACTATGTGGAATGTTCTTCGAAAATTGTAGTAAATGCACATAGTATCTATGTTTCATGCGGAGTACATATGTCGCTCAGTACCAAGGCAGCTGATCAAGCTTTGGAAACAACTTATCACCGTTCACTCCCCCATGCCAACGAATGAGCTCCTCGACGACGGCCTCCAACTCCATATTAACAAACAGTTCGTCTTCCATGCCAGGCATCCATCCTCGTTTAACCCTCTTCGCTGCCAGCTCCTCGCCCACACCATACGGGTCCCGTCTCCACAAACCGATCCCACTCTTCTCTTCCCCTGAGATCAATGACGCCAGGGGCGTTACTTCTTCCGGAGGATTGATCCCAATGACAACTCCGGAGCACGAAGCTTGCCCCTCACTCTCACCGAAGGGCCTACGCAACCCAAGAGCCGGAAAATGACACTCCATGAACCTTTGGCGCTTGAACTCGTGCGTAACAACAGTGATCTTTCTCGGATACGCTCCGACGCACGATCTAAATCTGAGCAGAGAGAAAAGCACATTCTGATAGGAGTCTGTAGCGTTGGTTTCGGCTATGACTCGGTCGGGATCGATTCTGGAAGAGCAAGAAAAGTAATCATTGTCTTTGGCCAGATTCTGTCGGGGGATGTCAGTTGATGTCGCTTCCGCGCTGGGAAGAACCGGATGGTCTCACATGATATGAGGCGCCCTCTGCTATGTCCGTTCTGTCTTTCTTTGTTGGACCTCTGTCAAAAAATCAGCTACTATCGATTCGCTGATGAGAGCTGCTGGTAGTCTAGCAGAAAGGAAGTCTCATACCCTGAGAACACGAGCAGCCCATACGGATCGTCCGCCAATGCTCGCAGACCAGCCTGAACATGTTCTGTGAATGTGGGCGTTTCACCCGTTTGGAAAGGTTCAATCAGCCTAGTCGTAGTAGATATGGTTAGCACGCGAAAGGTGTAGATCGTACAGAGTAGTAAAGGCGGAGATGAGAATGAGATTATGGGACTCTCAATTGCTCAGAAATACCCACTCAAATATTCTCACCATTCATCCTCGGAGAGACCCTTTGTAGGTCCACCAATGTATATCGCATGACAACAAACGATTATTAAGTGATTGTAGGCTGATATCTCAAAGCTTGGTGACCTCTCCATTGCTTTGATCAAGACTTCAAAGAGTGGAAAGAGTGAAGGTTTCTGGTTGACAAAGGTTATTGATAAGCGGATGCTGATTATGGAGATGTTTCGAAGAATGAGAGACAGATGATCCCTACTTTATTTGATTATACCTTATGACAGCGCAGGCCTCTCATAAGAGAACTCAGTCTACACTAAATAATCGAACCCAGCGTCAGAACAGGTACTTCTACTGTGTATAATCAGTATGCAATTAATATGAAAGAGGCATGGAAACTGAGTGGATAATCTATCGTACAGTACACGTTTATGTGTTTATGGAACAATTGAAAAAAACCTGCCCAGAGATATGAGATGGTGCCCACAGAACCCAGTCGCAAATAGAATCGAAAAGCATCACAAAACTCCATCTCATGACCATATCATGACCCTATGTGAGATGCTTCAGATGAGAAACATGACGCTGACCTGACCAATGCTAAGGTGGAAAAGAAAAACCACCGCAGAATGAACGCCGTGGGTAGCGAGAGGTTCACATCGTTTTGTCAATGTGCAACCACAGTAAAGCAGAAAGACATCTGAAAGATGCGTTAGACTGATGCAATAATTAAGGCCCTGCGCCGTGTGAGATAGATCTTTCCGGAGGGTATCATAAAAATGGAAGTAGCAAAGGAACGGAATCAATCTAAAGGATCATGGCGGAAGGTGCAGTTGTCGCCCTTGAGACATTTTCCTTCACGCCAGTATCGGCAAGGGACTAATCCAGCCTTTGGCTATTACAGAGTCAGCGATATGCTTGCTGCAAATCAGGTCTTGGAAGGGTATTTACGTGTTTCTTGTTTGGTGCTCCAAACTTGCTTCGCTTGGCGTAGCCAAATCTATCATCACCGGATTCATCAAGTCCATTTGTCTCACGTATACGCTTGCGCTCGGGATCTTCGTAGTATTGACCAGAAGTTTGAGGCGAACCAGCCTGCTGGTTCTGGTTGGCAAATTGTGAGATTATGGCAGCGAGATTCGGCGCCATCGCTGGTTGCGATGGTGGGACTTGGGGTACGATAGGCGCCGGCGGCATCTGTTTTTGTGCATTCATAACAGCCAATATTTTCTGGAAATCGAGGCCCTGAGTTGTCGGTGCCCGAGAGACAGATGGGAACTGGGGAATTTGTGGCACTTGAGGCTGCTGCTGGCGAAACATGCTGATGGTTCGCTCGAGGTCGGACATCGGCGCCTGTGACGCAGGCTGAGGGGGCGGCGGCGGAGTTGACTGTTGCTGCGACGCATTCTGGATGATTTTGAGCAAGTTTGAGATGTCAAATTGGTTGGTTTGAGCAATAGGCGGCGCAGCTGCAGCTGGGGCCGGTTTCGGGTTGACCACCGAGTAATATCGCTCTTGTCGAACCTAGAAACGGGAATATCAGAAGCCCGTACAAGAAGATGATAATGCACATGGATTGGATGTGTTACCTTGATGTGATCCGGTAATTCTCCGAAGGAAGTCACTTCAGTCACAGGTTCTTCAGCGTCAGGCTGAGGTGGCTCCTTCGGCGAGGAAGGAATATCTGCAGGAGAGGTGTAGAAAACCATGAGCGTAGTAGCTTCTCGGTGATCCTGGGCCTGCTTCTCGGGACTAGTAGGCTCTTGTGTTCCACCTCGTTTGATGTAGTTCCTGGAGCGATCGTCAGACGTCATATCGCCTTTGTCAATTTCTAGAATCTGTTAGCGAACATCCCAAAACTGGCGTCAATACCGGCTTACCAGAAGGCTCTGAATAGTCCATCAAATTCTCTTCACGAATAACGCCATCATCGTCATCTTCCAAATCTTCAAGATCTCTGTGAAGTTTAAGGACACTGCCCTCTCCTTTGATGTCGCCAATTTCTCCCTGCGAGCGGTCACCCGGTCCTAGCTCCTCATCAGGGTCGTGGGTGAAGAGACGAACTTCCGTAAGAGAGTCGTCGGGTTTCCACGTAACGCGCAATTTTCTTCGAGCTTCCTTGCGAAGTCGCTTCTGACGTTCTTCTTCGGTTTCAGGAGGTCGATCCTCAGCAGGCTCAACTGATTCGGAGTCCTTCTGCTTATTAAGATCTGCCATGAGATCGCCAAATGAGAAAGTGGGTCTAGAAGGCGGCGTCTGAGCTTCTTTCTTTTCGGCCGGAGGGCTGATCATTGTTAGCATTATTTGTGAGGTTCCACATATAGAAGCTTCGCGTTCTGCGTACCTTGCTTTCGCTGCGGCGGCAGCGGCGGCAGCGCGCTCTGCATTCGAGGTACCTGGTCTTTTGGAAGCAGAAATCAGGCTGCCAAAGAGGCTTGTAGGCTTGGGAGCGATAATGTTTGCCTTCGGACGCGCGACAGCTGCAGCAGACTTATTCTCCTGAGCTGTCTCTTGTGGACGTTTGACAGGGCCATTAGTGGTAGCATTGCCCGCTTTCGAACTAGGCTTGATATTGGATGTTACAATCATCCGCTTCGGAGCAGGCTGGCCATTGCTTTCTCCCTCCCGAGGCCTCTTCGAACCAGCGACTTCTGGACGGGAATCATTCGCAGGTGCTGGTTCAGAGGCAGAGCTCTTGGTCGCTGACCCCTCTTTAGCTGCTGGCTTGGTCGCCTCCAGTTTTCTTTTCGTGGAAGCCGCAGCATTATCTAGGATCTTCTGAGAGAGCTCCTTGACAGTTGGACCTCCCTTCTTCACGAAACGTGGTAGAAGTTTGGCAATGTTGGTTTTTTGGAGTACCTCCTCGTCCACGGAGCCAAAGCGTGCGAGTAACTATGTTGCAAGAGCTCTTAGTCATATGTCGAGCGGCATGCCTAAATAAAAAAGAGAGATGTACCTTAAGTATATTGACCGTGAATGCCCCATCCACGTCGGACGCTTGGTGTCGATCTAGAAGAAAGGAATACATGGCAGCGAGCGCCATTGGATGTTCTCCTAACCTGAACCTCCATGTTAGCCATTCAGAACTCGGAAATGTATGATTGGTAATGCCAGAAATTTGGAAAGAATCCGAAGCACATGCGACAGATTCAACAACCTCTGACGGGTCAATGTTAGTTCGTTGGCATTTCAGCGCTTCCTTAAGATCCGATATTAAGAGCCCAATTTAGAACCGCAAAGAGGGATTTTATCCTTCTGTCCTCGGGCGCGGAGCGATTACTCGCTCGTACTAGGAATCATCTTCTAAGGAGGCTTCCTGACCATCGACGCTCACAGATTACGGGGGGAGAGATTTCTCGATTCGTTTCTGACTTCTAAGGCCATAACGACGATATGCCAGAAGAACAAGAGAAGGAAAAGATAAAGGACATACTTCTCAACGATAGCCGGGTGGCCTTTTTCAAGAGTGGTACTGACAACCACATCCATCAGGCGACGTTGCAGGACAACATCCTTCTTGAGCTGGGCTGCTTTGTCGTTCTCATCTTTGTTCTCTGCCATCTTCATCGCTTGACTGCTTTCTTTCCACGCATCCCTTACACTTTTGACAACGTCTTTAAATGCAACTAAAGCATTTTTGACCTTATCAGCATTGGGTCTTCGATTGCGTGGTGACCAGACGGCTTGGAGAGTATCGTATTCCACAGCAGCCTCCGGTTCGCTGGGCCGCGTCGCTGGTATAGGGGAAGGCTCTTCGGGAAATTGAATTTCTAGGCCGGAGTCATCAGAAGTGTCGCTTTCTGATGCCGAAGACTTCTTCGCAAGAGTTGTGGTTTTCTTTGACACAGTCTTCGTGCGAGCTTTTTTCCTCGGCGGTTCAGTTGGTTTCACCTGCAAAGTCGAGTCTACGGAATTTTGACCTGGTTATTATTGATATTAGCTATTTATTATAATAAGATGTATGGTTATCATGAAGACAGATGGAGAGGGAAAAACCGCCGGGGACCACATACCGTTGACTTGGAAAGTTCTTTCAAAAGCATTTTGACCGAGAATAGGTTGGTTATTACTTGTACTCTGACCCATTACAGATGGCACTTGCAAGTCATTCTCGAAAAAGTTAAACAGCCTAGCACCGACTGTAAGTTGATTCCTTTACTTGGAGAATTTATGGGGGTTGAGAACTTACTTCCCATCATCGGGCCGGCCATATTCAGCTGAATTCACGTACAGGAAAGGGTTTTGGAGAGCAGAATGTTGATTAGAAGATTGCTGTGCGGGATTAAGTATCTGAGGATTGATGGTGGGGTCATCAGTAACGTTCGTAGCTGGCTCAGCATAATTGGTCATGAAATTCATCTACTACATGTCAGTGAGATGCTCTTAAGATGACGAATCTTTTGTATTCCTACCGAGTTCCCTTCGGAGTATCCGGCAGGAAGTGAGTATGATGCAAGAGGCGTTTGATGTGCGGCAGACTGGTAAGGATTTTGCTGGGCAGTCTGCGATCGATGGGCCTGCGGTGAATTTGATTGAGGAAAAGCATCGGGAAGGGACATGTGCTGAGCAGAATAGAAGTTCTGAGGGAATGAGTAAGACTGATACGGTGGGTTGTCCGTCGCAGGAAGAGGCCGAGAATCGAAAGTCACCTGGCCTGGAGGATATCGATGAACCTGATGGTACTGAGTCGGCACCCCAAGTCCTTGCGGAGCTGGCGAAAGTATTTGTTGTTGTTGTTGTTGACGATGTTGTTGTTGCAGTGAATTCTGTTGCCATGACTGGGGAGTTGACGAGGAATAGATGCCATGATTATGCTCTTGATGTGACGGTACTTGAGTCCTTTGCTGGTGCTGTTGACTGAAAATCGGATGATCCCAACTGATCCCCATCGACTGAGTTTGTTGCTGCGGTTGTTGTTGATGTTGTTGTTGTTGCTGGTGCGACTGATGCAGCTGCTGTTGGGTTGGATGTGGATGTTGGTGTGGGGGATCAGGACCTGGATATAACGAATCCAGATTGTTCCAATATTCGGGCTGAACCGAGCCAGGAGTTACTGAGCTGCGATGCAAGCCAGGCATCATGCCCTGGGACGAGGAACGATCCATTTTGGGCTTAATTTGCCCGTTATGACAGACGTTGACTTCGATCGCAGGTTGCAGTTGTTATTGTACTAAAAGGGTAATCTTATAAAGTCACATGTACCCACGTGTCTGGGATACCCAATATAGTAAAGTTCAGTTGCCGCTTTTCTCGGGTCGGAGTTGGCGGCAGCCGGGTGGAGCACTTGAAGTAGCAGCGAGGTATTTAATTGGATGATTCCTCAGGCCAACGGCAGTGCAGCTGATTGAAGTGTAAATGAACGATTTGAAGAACTTGATACGTCCAGATTGAAAGCGGTCAAGCCAGGAGAAAAATCAAGAGATTCCCGCCTTGCAGAGAGCAGCAGCAGCAGCAGCGAACCTTGGGGGAACCGAAGGAGTTGTCAAGCAAGTTTCTTTGGTGTACTGCGTACGGTATGGCCGACCAGTCTGGCAGAGATTATCCACCTGCCTTGGAGAGCCTACCTTAGGTACCTTAAATGACCTGGAATTGCTGGTAGGGATACTGTAGCGGCCACAGGCTCGTAAAGGTTTGTTGTCTGCAGTTCCTAAAGGTGTTTCCTGCAAGTCACGTTCAGACCTTGCGACCGTCTTGCACCTTTTAGAAGCACCTTGGGCACCACACAAATTGGTCAACTCTTGTTTCGAATACACCGACCAAGTATTAAGGTAGAGGTTGTGGTCTGTTCCTTTTGTCCTTGGTTCACTGCTCCCACTTCCTTCGTTCCTTAATCCCCAGCCTTGTGTTTTGTTTCCTTATTATGCGCCCTTTGTCACTTTGACCTGCCTTGCCCACCTTTTCCTGTCGGGCAGACGCGACCAGTCAGCTCGAACTGCTAGTCCTTGTGGACCTTTCTTTCCTCTAAATCTTGTCTTAAAGATGAAAGAAAGAGGTTCTCATACAAAGAACCACCTTGAATAGCAGCTCAGCAGCATAGTCATTCGCTTTACGAGGATGGTTGAGAGAATAGGGATGGGTGATTGTTGGTCGTGGTGATGAGGTAGAACTCAAAAGACGGGCGCTCACGGGCGGTCCTGGTGATATTAGGGCGATTTCTCTGCTACTCCCGTTCGAGCCTAGTTGTGCTCACGTGAAAGGCCCCAGCCACGATTCTCCCCAATTCGACGAAATAGTTTGTTATGTTTGTATTAAGCTAAGCGAGAAACAGCCTAGGCCGGGATTATGTCAGCTCCAACAATTGGGGAGCATCTCAGGATGCCAGGTGGAGAGATACCGCGATAACATCATAGTACGGTCGGTAGTTATCCTTGGATTCCCCTGAGAGGCCAGGGTGAATGCAATACTAAATTATCTTCATCATCTGTGCGACTCGGTCTTCTCTATTCCATCACAAACAGGTAAACGTGTCATGGTTCGAGTATAATTGAGTGGTTTGTTTGAAACAGCGCATGTGCAAGTGAACATACCATGGCGTCTCATGCAATGTCTCTTCGAGACCGTCAGGTCGGTAGGTTTCTCATACCGATCTGTTGAAAATCATTCAATGAGTATAGAAAGTCGCTAACTAGCCTCATAGCGTCTATTCAGAAGATCCTCAATCTGAACCACGAGCCGCACGCGACGGACGATGCCCCTCACGATATATCAGCTCAGGGCCTCATCTCCACGCCTATCCTCAATGAAGATGGCGATCCCATTTGGAAGGTCTTAGTGTTCGACAACATGGGCCGGGATGTCATCAGCAGCGTGCTTCGCGTAAACGACCTTCGAGCTTGGGGTGTCACCATTCATCTGTACGGTTATTGTGGTGCAAGAAGCATAGGATTGCAGCTAATCGTACGTTTTAAAGGAATCTAAACTCTACCAGATATCCCATCCCCGATGTCCCCGTCGTATACCTCGTTGAACCGACTCCTGCAAACATCCAAGCAATTACGAATGATCTCTCCCGTGGACTTTATTCTCCTGCCTATGTGAACTTTCTCTCATCCGTACCTCGACCACTTCTTGAAGACTTCGCATCTCAGATAGCTTCCACCGGTACCGCGGAGCATATTGCTCAAATTTATGACCAGTACTTGAATTTTATCGTAGCCGAACCGGACCTCTTCAGCTTGGGACTAGGCAACGACGCATACTGGAAGATCAATAGCGCCAAAACGAGTGATGAAGAGTTGGATGCCATTGTTGACAAGATTGTCAGTGGGCTGTTCAGCGTCAGTGTCACTATGGGTATGTTTCAAACCCTCTCCGCGCTTGAGAGTCAGCCGTTGATCATTCCTGGAATAATCAGGTGCGATTCCAATCATCCGTTGTCCGAAAGGCGGAGCGGCAGAGCTGATTGCCACCAAGCTCGACCGTAAACTGCGTGATCATATACTGAATTCGAAAGACAACCTGTTCTCCAGCAACAAGAAAACGCCCTCAGGAGTCCCTTCTTCACGACCGGTCCTGATTATCGTCGACCGTAATGTGGACTTGGTACCCATGCTGTCGCATTCGTGGACATACCAATCATTAGTACAAGACGTGCTTCAAATGCGGCTCAACCGGATAACAGTTGAAACTCCGATTGACGAGACAAACCCTGCCAAGGGCGTGACCAAGAAAGCATACGATTTGAACAGCAATGATTTCTTCTGGAATCGTAACGCTGGAGCTCCTTTTCCCCAGGTGGCGGAAGATATCGATGCTGAGTTGACGCGGTATAAAGAAGACGCAAATGAAATCACGAAGAAGACTGGGGCCTCTTCAATTGAGGACTTGCAGAATGATACCAGCGCTTCTGCGCAGCACCTCAAAGCTGCCATTACCCTGCTTCCCGAACTACGGGAACGCAAAGCTATTCTGGATATGCACATGAATATAGCAACTGCACTGCTCAAGGGGATCAAAGACCGCCAGCTGGATAATTTCTTCGAGCTCGAGGAGAACATTACGAAACAATCAAAAGCACAGATCATTGAATTGATTAATGACCCTGCGAAAGGCAGCAACCCTACCGATAAGCTCCGGCTATTCCTTATTTGGTTCCTAAGCACAGAAACAGACCTGTCCCGCGCAGACCTGAGCCAGTTTGAGGAGGCTCTCAGGCGCGCAGGAGTTGAGGATGTCAGCCCACTGACCTACGTGCGCCAGGTTCGAGAGCTCACCCGGATGACCATGATGACGACTGCCGCACCTCAGCAGCAGTCCTCGGATTTGTTCCGTGGATTCTCATCACTTTCTAACCGCCTCACTGACCGCATCACTTCCGGAGCATTGGGTGCCAATTTCGATTCACTCATTTCAGGCGTTAAGAATTTTCTGCCTGCAAACAAAGACCTCACCCTGACCAAGATCACCGAGTCCATCATGGATCCGTCCTCAGCCTCCAGTTCAGCAATCGCGAAAACAGAGAACTACCTCTATTTCGACCCGCGGAGCGCAAACGCGCGTGGGGCCATACCCCCGGCATCTGCGTCTCGCAATCCACAAGCCCCAGGGGCCCTTGGAGGTGTGGAACGAGGGACCGGCGCCACGTTTGGCCAGCGTCGCCAGGTATTCAACGAAGCAATCGTCTTCACCGTGGGTGGAGGTAGCATGGACGAATACGGCAATTTGCAGGACTGGGTGCGCCAAACCAGCGGACAGCCGGGCGATGGTGCAGGGGCCGGCATTCGCGCTGGAGCAGGGGCTATGGGTGGAGCTAGACGGAGAGTCGTCTATGGCAGTACGGATTTGATGAATGCTAATGAATTTCTGACGGAGTCGTTGTCCAAACTTGGCCGGGAAAGTTGATTCCGCTTTCTCCTTGGAGGAAACCAGTTTGGTCTGTAAAGAAAATAGATTCATCTCTTACGTTACATACCTTAATAAATATCTTATGTCATGATTCCGCCGCCTCTAAGCTAGCTAGTTGGAATGAATAGTTCTTTGTTTGGATTATCGAAATAGGTACTGCTAGTGGAAAAGGCTAATCTTCTGTCAATGTGTATTTCCCAGAGTTCAAATGAAAGCAGAGAAAGTAAAGGAAAAGAAACAAAAGGAAGGTATTATTATGACACGACTGGCGCTGTAGCATATGGCTTGTATCAACTGAAAAGAGAGAAGAGCACCTCGCAAGAAAACTCCAGACGGATAAACCGCTTATGCATTCCTCAAATAATGTAATGACTACTCACACATCCCTGTGGGGATCCTTTCGGTAGCTATGGACGGAGATGTCATGCGCCACCGAAATGCCGAACCCGTTCTCCGGGTCCTGCTGAGGTTTACCGGTTGACTGCTGTGAGTAACATGTGGTGTTCGGTGAGGTCATAGAGGAGCTGATACACGGGCTGGACTTGTCTCTCACGGCGCTGTCGGAGGAGAGCATGTTCCACAGATTGTGACGGGACGCTGTAGAGTTCGCGGTGGAGTTCGCCTGGTCAAGGGCGAATCCAGCCCAAATGGAGGAAAGAGGGAGCGAGATGGTGACGAGGGTTAGGAGGTTATGCGAAATTTCTGGGATTGTGCTGAAGTACTGGCAAATTGCAAAAAGGGCTTGACGGAGTATTGATCAGTATGATCTCTTTAATTGGATGATGCGATCCTTTCCGGGGTCTTACCTGGGATGGTCATAGTTTGGCAACCCATAATGAATATGACCTTCATCGGTCCGAATTGCTTTACACCCAGCCTCTTGCGCATTTTGATGGCTAGGCCAAGCTTGACGACGAAGACGGCGCAGAAGAAGCAGATGCTGACGGTTGACACGATGTTGGTGGCACTCTCCAGCCAATCCAGGTGGTCCATGGTGCCTGCGTGCATGATTTCCATGCAGTTTAGGACCGAGTAAGCCAAGCGAACGCCGATCGGAACAAGGGCAGCAAGGATCGAGGCACCGAGAAGTAGGATCCGATACTGACGACGCAGGTTGGAGCAGACAACCTGAACCTGAAGCACCAGGGAGACCTCCACGAAGATAAGGACAAGAGTGAAGAACACAGATGCCATGACCTGGCCGGCATAAGCACCGCGTGACACTCTGGAAAAGTCACCAGCCAGCAACGCATACATTCTAGCGAATCCGGACGAGAAATAACTGAGCTGGCAGGCCAGTCGTATGATATTGGCAAGTAGCGCAGCAACGTTCAGCACAAAAACGGATGAGACGCGCTTTTCTGGTCTTGTCAGCAGCAAGAGGACTAGGAGGAGGACGATGCATGCACCGAGCTGGGTGCCATAGTTGATGCTTAGACGAAGCATGTAGTGCAGGAAGTCGTCCGCTTGTCCCATTGATGAGATGATGGTTGTCCCGTCGGAACCAATCAGAGTGATGTTCTGCGTAAAAGGATCAAATGTCGAGTTCATGTTGACTTTGCTGTGATCGGTCCTGCGATCAGAGGAAGTGACAAAAAGTCTTGTATACGTATGGAAGATGAGAAGATGTGACTTTCTAGCCGATAGAGGTGCTTGCAGAGGTGGATAGGCTCAGAAAAAGACGAACACCAGGTCCGAGGGAGTCTAGATATGGAGATTGAGCATTGTAGAAGTCAAGATCGAGGCCACAGTATAGCAGCTGACTGTCCAACCTGCGGTGACGGACTGTCTGAACTCTTGAGGCAGCGTGGGGAATGCTATATGCAGTGCAACACCCGAAACAAACAATGATATGGAATGGCCATGGAGAGGTGTAACAATATTTAGATGACATTGCGGTGGGCCCCAGTTCCAGACAAAAGCGTTGATCATGACTTTATCCATATTGATGTGCTGAAAGAGAATGAGTAAAGTTACCGAGACCTGATTGTGATGAGTCCGAGACCTACAATATCAAGACGGGAGGCAAGAACAATATCAAGACGGGCAGACAAAGAACATCGCTCTCACGGAGAACGTCAATCTTGTCCCATCTGGATTCACCATTGACATGCTGCCATTCTTGTCGATTTGCAAAGCAGTTCATCACGACACTATCAGCATTGGATTTTTGACAGCTTGATCAGCGGCAATTCCCTCGATTCTAGTGAGGATCCTGGTATGATGTATGTGTTGTCGCGAAGTTGGAGAAATGAGCGGATGTACACTGGGTCATGTTTCATCAAGACAGTTCAAGAACAGGAGCTTCAACTGCATCGATGATGTCTCAGTGTCTCCAGAGAGATCTTTTTGAGTTTAGTATTGTCTCCTCCTGATGAGCTGCCTGTTGTTGGCGTCTTCTAGAGGCGAGCACTGAGGTAACAAGCTGCATGGGCTATCACTTCATCGTCCTGCAGGGGATTCGCTTAGTTGCCTTTGAGTCAAATAATCTCAAGACCTTTAGACCAGATCGAGACGTATTTGCACTACCATAGTGGCCTGCAAGATTCAGACGGACCAGGAATGTTCAGCTAGATTGCAAACCGCACGTATAATTTTAACCTGTAGACTCTGATCTTACATTTGACGGAACGGGAATAGCAAGACGGTCATTCAAGACGATGAAGACGAGCTTCATGATAGCTTCAAGAAGCCAAGACAGAAGAATTGGGGGATTTCCTCCCTTTGGAGCTCTCTCGTGCCACTATCGTAGTACAAACGGATGATAGATTTCCTGGATTGATCCGTGCAGCGGCCCCACCTTCAATAGTAACTTTTTCTCAGATTCATCACAACCACATCCACAACCATCATTAGACCAGCTGCAGCACATTCGAAATACTCTTATATCGCGGTCTTACTTACTATCTTGAAGCGCCTCGAAGCATTAACACAAGACCGGCATCAATCTCGAACCATGGCTTCAGCAGACTTATATACACCACCTCCCCTCCCTTCTCCATTCACGAACACAACCCCACCACCGCAATTGCTCACCCAAGGCGCCGAAGCGCATCTCTACAAGACCGTCTTCCTCTCACCCTCCACCCCAGCTGCTCTGAAGATCCGCCCGTCAAAGCCCTACCGCCACCCGATTCTCGACCGACGGCTCACGCGCCAGCGCATACTGCAGGAAGCTCGGTGCCTGGTAAAACTGGTCCGGGAAGGCGTCAATGTCCCCGCCGTGCTGGCGCTGGATTGGGAGGGCCAAACTGGCGAAAAGGGATTCGGAGGGGCCTGGTTGATGATGGAGTGGATTGAGGGATTGGTGGTGCGAGTCGTACTGGAGCGGTGGGAGAAATACATGAAGCGGAACCAGGCTGGCCAGGGCGCGGAGGGACTGAAAAAGGAAGAGGCGCGGGTTCGAGAACTGATGAGGAGGATCGGTCACGCTGTTGGTGGACTGCACAAGGCCGGCGTTATCCATGGGGATCTGACGACGAGCAATCTCATCCTGCGACCGCCTAGTCATACGGAGCAGCAACTCGCTGCTGACGAGACAAAGCCGTCCATGGAGGGGGATGTTGTTCTGATCGATTTTGGCTTGGCCAGTCAGAGTCTGCAAGATGAAGACCGCGCGGTCGATCTATATGTGCTTGAAAGGGCGTTTGGTAGCACCCATCCTCGTACTGAGCCATTCTTCGAAGAAGTCCTCAATGGGTATAAGGAAAGCTACAAGGGCGCTATCTCTGCGTTGAAACGGTTAGAGGAAGTGCGGATGAGAGGTCGCAAGAGAAGTATGATTGGATGAGCGGCTTGCTCGAAGCATGTTATACCCGGACTCTCGGCTGTCCAGTTGAGTTATGAGGAGAGCAACGATATACACATGCAATCATTCGTCATCAATGAAGAACCAAGATATTGCGCCACGCTCTATCGCACAATGCAGCGAAGAAAATGTGTACTTTGCAAAGATAGAAACAAGATCTCACTCAGTAACATCGCAATTTCTCATGAACGCGTCTTGACGCAAGCTCCCACGTCTGCCAGCGCGAAATATCCCTTGTTCTCGACCACTCCGCGGTCCTTGACCACCGCCGTGTACTTGACCACCCACTGTGGCTCAACATCGCCTTTGATCCCGTCGTCGGCATCTGCAGTGGACGCGAGGATTCCAGCACCCTTCTCCCCTGGACCCAGCAGCTCCCGTGTCGTGCCCACCGGCAGGATATCATTGCAGTCGTTATGCGTAAGCAGTTGGATATTCTCTTGCTTCGCATAGAGAATCAACGACTTGGGAACGACACAGCAGTCCCGGAGGTTGATCTGATCAACGGATGGCCTGACCTTGGTATGTGGTAGAAACCGAGCGAGCCTGTCGCTTCCAAACTCCGCCACACCCAGCTGAGCAATCATGCCTTTCTCATGCAGCCCCTCGAGCGTCCTCCACGACTGAATGATGCTGTCAAAGTCATCCGGCTCCTCGCTTCCGCCATCCGACGACACCTCTTCTTCGCTGTCGTCCTCCGCGTCGAACAAAATCCCAGGGAAGGAGACAATAAGCAGATCGATAGAATCCACATGTAGCTCTTTCAATACCAGATCAATCGCCTGGCGTGTATGCGCGCACCGTCGTGACGCCGGGACTCCGGGTAGATAGAACAATTTTACCGTAATATCATACTGCAACCTCTCCTCTGCCAGCCCGCGCTGCGAGAAATCGATCGCGGGAATGTAAAGCGCATCGTCCTGCATCGATGTCCATGCCTTGTATCTCTCCGTGGGTTCAGTCCGACTCGCATCCGAGGTTACAAGCTGTTGCGCAGCTTGGAAATTCGCTCGTAGCGAGTTGATCAGCTCGACGTTCGATTTGGTTGTACCTGGATATCTGATGACGGATGAACCGCCACTGGTCATGAGATTTCTGCGAAACACATCTCGATCAGTCTCGTCCGGTGATAGTGGGGTAGTCCCATAGTCACAACAGCTTGCCACTTACGAGGTGGAGAGTATCAACTTCATGGCTATTTACCCTTGGAAAATCAGAGTACAAGCCAGAGATATCGATTATGAGTTCCAAAAAGTTGGGTTGCGCTTAGGAATGCTGATAAATTGCGCTTGATAAGACGGATTGGATTGCATCGGTTTGAATTGCTAAGCAGCCCCGCGCCCGAAGTGATTTCCGCTCCGGTACGGAGGAAATGTAACCATATCGGGGACCGAGACGCCAACTGGCATTTCACGATTTCCCCGACGCATGTGCAGGAAATGGCATTAGAATATCATTTCGCAATACTGCAGAAGGCTCAATCTACAAGGCTATATCACTGATTTGTTGCAGCATTTTGGGTATGCCGTTCACTAAATATACGACTCCGCATTGCCATCGTCAGCTTTCTTGACAGCTAGGCTTTGGAGATTTGAGTCGCAAACATACATGGCTGTGTCTATTAGCATCTTTTAGGTTTTAATGGACATCAGGCGAAGCCCAAGGATAAGACCGACTTATGGCAGACTCGATCCTTGATATGCTGGCGACTCCTCTACAAATCGAGGCCACAAGTCTCGCATCACATGTCGAGATTCTATACCACTAGACTAAGGACTACATCGTCCGGACACTTTTTTAGTCGAGCTGTATTAGTCTTTTTGACATCACATCCTTAGCACGACAGTATCAATCATATTCAACAGTAGGATCCCAATCCGTCGGCGAATATTCTCCCGTATTGAGCGCCTGCATATCCTCCTCCGCGAGCTCAAAATCGAAGACATCCGCGTTCTCCTGAATGCGCGCTGGCGTAACGGACTTGGGAAGCGCAACAAACCCCTAGTTTCATCCCTCCGTCAATCATATCCTGCTCATCAATATCAACAGACAGAGCACTCACCTTCTGCAAGCTCCACCGGATCATAACCTGCGCAGGAGACTTGTTGTATTTCTTCCCCAAGGTCTTCAAAACAGGCTCGTTGAGCCGATACCCATGCGCGAGCGGCGAGTACGCCTCAACCACGATATCGCGTTTCTTAAGCCACTCGACGATCTCCGATCTATCCAGCCATGGATGCAGCTCGTACTGCCCAACGTCTATCTTACCCCGGCCCTCGCCGCCCTTGATATACTCCTCCAGTTCATCGAGGTGATGGATGCCGTAGTTGGACACGCCGATGGACCGAGTCTTCCCGGCCGCCTGCGCCTCGACTAGAGCGCGCCAGGAACCAAGGCGGGCATTCTTGCCGCCGTACGGAGCATGGATGAGGATTCTGGCCGTATCACTGAGCTATATCCTTCGAAGCCATGTACCGGAGAGTCCGGCAGGATACGTGGTTATACCTACAGATCAAAATACTCCACTCCGGCCTCTCGCAGACTAGAGTCGACTTGGCGCGCGGTGCGCTCGTACCCCATTGAGCCCGGCGGGATTTTCGTCGTGAAGAAGATGTCAGACCGATCGAGACCGGAGTTCTGGATTGCGCGGCCGCAGGCTTTTTCGTTCCGGTACATGACCGCAGAGTCTACCTACATTTTTCTGTCAGCTAGTATTCGTACTCGGCAGTGCTGTGGCTTGTAT